ACTACGGCCCGCGGGGACCGTCCTGTCCAGCCCTTGATCTCCCGACCGGGGAGGCTAGCCCCTGGCCCCTCCCCCACTCTCCCCCCTCCCCCACAGCTATGCCACCATGCAGGCAGCGCTCTGGGCAGCGGGGCTGCGTGCTCCTGCAGGGCAGCGCGGCAGCGTGTCTGGCTCTGGCCGGGTGGCATGGCTGCCAGATATGCTGCTCTGAGTGGCATGGTAAGGGGGCTGGGGCCAGGGGGTTGGATAAGGGGTGGGGAATCCCAGGGGGCAGTCAGAGGACAGGGAGCGGAGGGGTTGGATGGGGCGGAGCTTCGGGGGGGGTTAGATAAGTGTGGAGTCCTGGGGGGCCTGTCAGGGGGCGGGGGTGTGGATAGGGGTTGGGGCAGTCAGGGGACAGGGAGCAGGGGGGTTGGATGGGTCGGGGGTTCTGAGGGAGGCAGTCAGGGTGCGGGAAGTGGGAAGGGGCAGATAGGGGGCAGGGGCCAAGCTGTTTGGGAAGGCACAGCTTTCCCTACCGGCCCTCCATACAGTTTTGCAACCCCGATGTGGCCCTTGGGCCAAAAAGTTTGCCCACCCCTGATCTAATAGATCTCATGGGCAGGAAGTTTCCCCTATGTCCCTTTCTTAATTTTCCCCATTACTTGCTCCTCTTTGCACCCCCTTTACCACCCTAATCCATCCTTCTTGCTTCCACTGCCTATAGCCTGGCTGTAACTGAGCCAAGCTATGCATGTTCAGCTCTTTTATTTTTACTCATCAATCAGCCCCTTCAGGCCCCTAATCTGTTCTATTCTGTTCTGAGATCTCCCTGCAATTTGACATTACCTCTCTGGTAATAAGGTGCAATATTCCCAATTGAATTGTATTGGAACTGTACAGAGAGAGACCTGCCCAATTCCTATCCCACAATGTGATGACTCTGCGCATATGCAGCTACAAATTGCATTTATCTTTTCTGGTGTCCTATTGCATTGCAAGCTCATGTCTAATTTGCAGTTCACTCTTGCCATCAGATTTCTCCCAGCAGTCCTGTTTTCCACATTCTCCTCTCTCATTGAACTGTTTTCAGTTTCCATGTGTTAAACTTGCATTCTTCCACAATGAATTCTGCCTGCGTTTCTAATCTCCGACTCCAGGCTGCTTTGTCTTTGTCTTCTGGCCCTGCTGGTATTTGCATTTCTTCCCAGTTTAGTAACTTCTCTGGATGTCATTAACATGATGTGTGCTATGCTGGATCACTAGTCGTGAACACTACATCGAAAAACACCAGTCCCTGCAATATGCTGCTTCACACTTACCCTCACCTTTATAAATATGCCACTGACCATTAAATCAGGCCCTGATCCTGCAGTATGTAGCAGACGGGTGGGCTAACACAGCTGCAAGGAGCTCCACTGAAGTCAGTGGGACACGCACAGGCATAGCAGCAGACTGCCTGCATGCTACATATTAAAGGACTGGGGCATTGTGCCTATCCATCTGTTTTTACAAGGCCAGAATGAGGCCTTGGAGAGCAATGGGCTAGATTTTCAAAGGGATTTAGGTACCTAAGGAGGTGGACACTTTTGAAAATCCCAGTAGGTGCCAATCTGAATCTTTAGGCCCCTGAATATCTTTGAAAATCTGGCCCTTCCACAACACAGATAACAATGAACATTGCCCTCTTTTCACATCAGTTTTCACTTTTTATTAGCAGGGTTCAGGATTCCAGGCTTGTTTGTCTGATTTTTAATCCACATATTTTGCTTCTTCTGACTTCCTTTCTTCCACTAATTATCATCATCTCCCATGTGTTTCCTTGGCTGGTATCTTCATGACTAAATTAACATGGGGATATTTTGATACTAGTTGTTGCAGAGAAAAAAAAGGAGGGGAGGAAATATAAGATTAATTGTATTAATTTGCCACAGCTTTTTAATTCATTTTTTTTCCTTTGTACTTCTGCTTAAAGGACACTGTCTGATTAAGCATCATCTGCTGTAGTTTTAAAAAGAATTTCCTCACCTGTGTGACAAAAAATTTTATATTAAAATTGAAAATGTGTAAGTCTTTCACTTATCCCTATCTGTGCTGTTTGTCTTGTGTTTCTCTGTGCTTGGATAATGAAAATGGACTGATCAATATCGGGTTCTCCTGCACTACCACAATGTAGCAATGTTTAGGCTTTGTAAAAGGTTGCTTTGACAAAACCTGAATTCGGGGGCCAAGTGTGCTGCATTGACTTAGTGCCTTTAACAGGAGACATTCAACTAGTTCAGGTCTGAAATGTGACCTACTTTACGATGTGCCCTAGATACTAAGAGCTGTATTTTCCCTTTTTCTTAAGTAATACCAAACCAAGAGAAAAATAGAGCCAGGTTAATTTCAGCTCTCAAATCAAAAGGATGAAATTCATACTAAAAGAAATAGAAATTTCCCAGAACCATGTGATTTTTATTTTTATTTTTTGGTAAAAACAAAGTGATCTTTTAAAAATAAACAAATACAGAGGGGCCAGTGGTGGGAATGATGATAAAACCTAGTGCTTTTCACCAGTAGGTCTCAAAGTGATTTACAAAGGAGGTTAGTATCATTATAGATAGGGAAACTGAGCCACAGAGGTGCGGTGACTTACCCAAAATCATCAGCAGGCCAGTGACAGAGCGAGGATTTGAAGCCACGTCTTTGAGGCCCAGTCCAGGACTCTATCCTTTAGGCAACACTGCTTATGAATACAGACTTTGATCCAGCAAAGCACTTAAGCATGTGTTTAACTTTAAGCACATGGGTAGTCCCATTTACTTGGAAGTTGAGCATGTGTGTAAATTCTTTGCTGGATTGGGGCCAGGGGCCGGAATCAACCTTTGCTTCAGGGTGGTAATCTGACTGCAGTAAGATAATAGCAAATAGGAGTAACCTTTCTCTCTTCCTCCTCCTTCCAGACCCCTATTTAGGATCAGAGCCTCGTTCTTAACAATGCATCCACTTCACTATTCTCACGGTTTCTATCGGGCTAAAAATAAGCAGCCAGAAATAACGAAAGCTAATGAGAAGTAGCGATTGCACCCTCTCCTCAGTACTGCCCCTCACACCGCATTCCCCCACTTCTCAGCAGTCTCAACAAAGGTGCACACAGTGGAGGTCACTATTATAAAACTAACAGCTGCCACCTGAAGGGTGGCGAGGACTGACACAGTTTCTGTCTTTACTTTCTCACTTGACAAATGTTCCCTTTCCAGTGGCTTCTGATATCAATGTAAGCACTGCAAACATCTTGGGCCTGGCTCTTCCATGCCGTGTACCTTGTGTAGTCTTTACACCAGTGCAAACTAGGTCTGAGATGACACTATTGGTGTACTTGAGTGAAGAATTCTCATTGGGTAATACGTTACATTGCCTTTACCCAGGTATAAATGACCACACAAGGTGCAAGTGGAGTTCACTGCTCAGTGTGCATAACCCCCCTCCCCCCCCCCGGTCGGCTGATTCGTGGAGTGTGAGTCTCTTCTGCTCAAGCTGTAGCTACTCATAGGTGTGTGTGTGGGGGGTATTTATTTATTTTTAAAGCTCCGGAGTTTCCCAGTTACATCCGCAATGTTGTTTAAGATTGTAGCTGTCACACAAAAGAGGGAAGAATCAGGCCCCTTGTCTTTCTAGTCCCTGAGCTCCCTCTAGTGCTCACACATACACATTGCAGCCACTCACTTCAGCTCTCTGGTTTAGTAGGATGTGAGAGAGGTGTTCCGCTGGTGCTCTTTGGGTCCAGTCTTGCAGTCTCTGGTGATCTGAGCTGACCCACTCTAGCTTGATGAGTAAGCTTTTTAGGATTGACCTCTTTTTCAGTTCACTCTTGGTGAGGAAACTTTGTAAATAAGCGCGCACCCTTACTCTGACGTAAATTAAACTGCACAAAAAGCACTGAGGCCAGCTCCTCGAAGGGCCTGCGCTCTTAAGCACACCACCCCCTTCTCTCAGGCTGTTTGTTGCCATGGTGTTAACCAAAGGTGGGGAGCATCCCCACCCCACACACCTCCACCCAGGCTATACTGTGGCTGTGGTGTGTGCTCACTGAACCCTGTCACCAGCATGTGCAGGAGTGGGATTTCAAATGTCAAACTTTGCAAATACTGTCCCACCTGCTCCTAGCATCGGCAGAGAAATGTAATTACAGAAGGGGAGAAATCTCAGAGTTACAGGTCTCAATTTTTGCTTAGGTCAAGTATCTGAGAGGACCTAAGGTACAGAAACAAGGCTTTCGGGTTAAAATCAGACCTTTCTAACTCACTATGTCTTACAGGTGATGTACTCCTTTAGCTGGGCTTGGGTTGGGTGCTAATCATTAAAGCTACTGTATGATGCCAGAAATCCTGAGAAGGATACAGATGCAGGCTGACCCTGAGGCATTCTGGTGGCATGAGCTGTCGGGGTCCCTTGCTCTCTTTAAAAATACAGTATAGTGAAGTGTATTTGGCATTCCTTAAAGGTGATTTGATAGCCTTGGGGCTCCTATTCTTCCAGTGTAGAGGACAAATACCTCGTTTTAAAGTCAAGGGCGTCACTCAGATCCTTCAGCTGGTGAACCCCTGGAGACTGAAATCTTGGATCCACAGAGGTACAGCATGGGGCAGTGCTAGCTTCTCCCCAGCCGCTGACTATGTGCCTCCACCTTGTTCTTTAGGTGCCAGCACTGGGAGGATGGGAGCAGGGTAAGTCCAAATACCACCAGCCCCCAAAGCAGAATACCCACCAATGTCTAATGTGGCTGGAACCCCAGAGGTGAATTTATAGTTCAAGCTAATCTTATTTCGGGCAGGAACTGTCGTTTCCTGTATGTTTGTGCCAGTGCCTAGCACAATAGGGATCTGACTTAGTTGACTTGTAGGCACACAATAGAACTGTTAAATAATAATAATCTCTAGTCTGATGCCAGTCATGTAGTGTTGTGTGTGTGTGTGTATTTACACTTCTTCACAACAAACTGTTGCTCTTCACTTCTGCTTAAACTTGTGTTGTCTCAGTCCTGTCACAGATCCTGGTGAAGAAGACAATGATGAGACGCGGCCATCTCAGTCCATCCCTCTGCAAAACTGCCTTCCAGCGCCTGGCATCTGTGTCCTTGATAAACTCATCAAAACGTGCCCAGTCTGGCTTCAGCTAAGCATGAATCAGGACAGGGCTGGAGAGATACTCAGCAAAGAAACAGCAGGGGTAAGTCTACATTTGTCCAAAACAATTTCAGTTCAGACAACCATATTTCCTGCTCCTCAGGGGAGATGGATAGCTGTGATGTGTTTTGTTTTTTTCATGTGAAAACATTTAGCAGTTTTTGGTCTTTGTTTCCTTTGCCCATGGTTGTTGGCTAGTCTTATGTTCATGGGATAGACATTTCCATTCTCTCTAGAGTGGTGGTGTGTGTGAAAGAGAAGGCTTATACCTTTGATTTACTTAGCAGTTGGTGTCTGGGAACAGTTTTCCTATTTGTTTCATAGCCCTGCTTGTTGTGCTTTCAGATATCTCCATACACACTCTGTAGTCTGATGCAGTATTTTTCCAATATCTCTGACTTGTAGCTTCCTTAAAAAGTGAAATCTTAAAGGTGAACAACAACAAACGTGTGTTCATGCCCCTAGTTTGCTTCTTTGGGTGTCAATTTTGCTTGTTGATTTTTATACCTTAGGAAAACCAGCAAAATCAAGCCTTTTCTTCCTTGTAGGAGGACATGAGAACTAGTGGCAGCTCTTTCAGCCCTTCATTGCCAAGATATGGGGTTTGGAACTTTAAGAAAGAAATCTTTTCTCCCAAGCGCATGTCAGGTGTTTGAGATAGAGAAGGGTTGACAAAAATAACAAACAAAACATGTAGTGTTCTTAAAAGTTTTGATACAGTTGCTCAGATTTCACATCCTTGGTACTGTGATGTCATTATAGTACCTCTCCGGTCATCCATAGATGACCCAAAGTAGACAAGAATGGAATTTCTAATGTAAACAAAGCAAGATATAAAATGCTTTTTATATTGCTTAGTCTGTGGGGGGGAAAGCTCTCAGGAATTCTTTATATGTCATAAAGAATTGGGAGGTGATTAGGAGGAAGTAGGGTGGATAAGCCCAATTTTTCCCTCTACTAAAAAGTGGCCTGCTCCCACTTCTCTTCATTCACTGGCTGGTGTTCTAAGGGAAGGTAACGATCCTGTGCAAACCAAAGAGACTAAAATAACTAAATGAAAACTGGAATGAGGCTAGGATTTGGGGTAGAGATGCTGCTGCAGGGAAACCTGAAGCACAGCCAAGCTGAAGGAGACATTTTAGGCTGAGTGTTATGGTTTCATTGTTCTTTGGCTTACCAATAAAGCCAAATCCCAGGAAGGGGTTAGGTGAGCACAGATGACACAGAGTGAGCCTGGGCCTGCTGCCTGTACTCATATTTAGTTGTATATTGCCATCTGAATAGTGTCACTGAGCTCAGTGTGACTACTCAGTATAAGTAAGCATAGCAGAATTGGGCTTATTGGAGAAAGAGTCTGTTCGGTCTGATCGTGTTATGAGCCTTGAAATGTTGCTGAGTTGATGAGGGTTTTTTTAAATTAAATTCTCATGCATGTGGAGGCCTGATCAAAAAATGTGGGCCTGGTGTTTGTGATAAGGGAGGTTTTTACAGTAAAGGCTATATCTGGGTTAGACTAAAGCCTGTGCAAGGCTCAGCCCATCTCCCCAGATGAAGGGAGTAAGTCCCAGGGACACATGGTAGAAACTAGATGACTCAGACCCAGGTCTGCTGAGATACATGTAAAGGGCAGCTTGAGTTGCAGGAAGCAGGCTAGCAAGTCTGGGAGCCAGTCGACTGGAGGAAAACTTCGGCAGAAGGGAGTAGAGAGACTCTTCTTAGCTCCCAGGCAGGGGGCCTGAAGAGTAAGACCTGCAGGAGTCCCTGGCCCTGAGGAAAGGACCTGCTCTGTATGATGAACCTGTGTTTCATGGTTTTAATTTAGAGAGATAACATTGAACCCTGAAGAAAAGGTCTGGAAATCCTGATGCTGTTGGGTGGAGTGGGGTTAGCGCTGCAGCGCACTAGCTGGTGAGTTCTCCCTCAGGCTCATGTAGCCTCTCTGGACAGAGCATTAGAAAATGGCAGTCTGGCTAAGAGCTTGCCTCCCCTTTTCCTTCTTTAGTCTCTTGCTAGCAATAGAAGCCATAGTGAGCGTTTACACCAGTTCCTGTGGAAATGAAAAGACCACCCTTAGCTGAAGGAAAGGTGGGAATAGGCTGTGCGGACTGCAGAGTGCCCAGGCAATTCACATGCTCTCGTTGGGAGGGTGGCAGTGGATGTCGCTTTTTCGTTCTCTGAATCAGCCTTCAGGGACGAAATCCAGCTTGTGCCAAGTTAGAAACCAACGTCTCCTCTGCCATTTGCTGGTTCTCGCAATGGCATCCAGCTGCCACAACTTTAACATCTTTAAAGCTCTCCAAGACATCCGGGGATGGGCAGTATTTCTGAAGGACATTCAGGGGCAAATTCTGCTTCTGCTCCCCCACCCCACCTTTTCCACAGGCATGATCCCTCCCCCTCTGCAATAGGTAGCCAGGAGAGGAACCTGCACAGAGGTGTGCCTCCCAGGGGAGAACAGCTGGCCAGCAGCAGAGCGGAGCACGTGCTGATGCTGTATCCTGCAGAAGGGGGTGCAGTGGACATACACTAGTTTAATGTCAGAGAACTGGGGCGGCACATGTTCTGCCTGCTCCTGGAGCTCATTTTAGGATGGAGCAGCTCTCCAACACCCCAGAGGTACAATCTGGAAAGACTTATTTACATAATAGTCTCCCACCCTGCAAATTGGGAACAAGTTAACTGCAAGCTTAGGAAGCCTATGCAGCTAAGTACCCGTTTCAACAGACATGGCCCAAATTTAACCTTTGGAACCATGGCAACAAGCCTTCCTGATTAGAAAAGAGAACAGACCAGTTTCCAGATTTCACTTCTCACCTTGTTAATCTGAATTTGAACCAAAATTGATCAAGTGTTAATCGATAACTCAGTGATCTCGGGGGGTCAAACATACATTAATTCTCACAACAGCCCAGTGAAGTAGGTTAGAGTTATCAGCTTGGGGAGCTGAAGCAGGAAGAGATTAAATGATTTACCTCCCACCACCCCCGTACATGGGAAGGTGCTGGATGCTCACAACTGTCTCTGACACCTGCCTGTCTGCCTAGCTAGCCACTTATATCCTGCTCACCACCATGGCATGGGGTCGGGCTGCCCTTTCAGTGAGTCTGAACCAGTGTAAATATGAAGTGCTGAAGGACTGAATTTCACATCAGAGAGCAGAAGACCTTACCAGGCTCTCTGTTGTATTGAGCTGAATGGAGAGCCACACACAATACGGCCGAGGACACTCATTCCCAGGGCCGGCGCAACCCATTAGGCGACCTAGGCAGTCGCCTAGGGCGCTGCGATTTGGGGGGCAGCGATCGCGGCGGTATTTCTGCGGCTGGACCTTCCGCCGCCTCTATGGGGGGGGGGCGGCATTTCGGGGCGGCGGAAAAGCTGGCGGCGCTCCTGCTCACTCCCCATCTTAGCAAAACTGCTTCAAGCTGTGGTCAGAGTGGTTGTTTGAATGTGACGTGAGATGCTCCTAACCCTAGGACCTGAGGGTTTGTGCATTAGCAATGCTCCTAGCCCGCCGTGCTCAGGACCTACACTCAGTTCCCCCTTTGGCAGCACACCACATTGCCACTTGGCTTCTAGACAAGCTCCTCTCGGTTCCTCTTCCCGCGAAATCAAAGGTTTCCTGGTGTAGTTCCAGTGCACTGCAATTATTTAATCATTTTTCAGAATCACACTTCTCCTCTATAATGTTAATACCGTGGTTCTAGAATTAGCTAAATCTTTGAAATCACTTTTATAAATACCTTGACTCTCTCTTACCTAAAGCTGCTTTTAGGAAGAGGTGACGACAAAGAGTCTTTGCCCCTAGGATTTCAAGCTACAAGCTAGATACGTATTTGACATTGAAGTCTGATTAGAAACACACTGAGGAAAGCACACGGTGCTTACAATGCACAGAGAAGGGACTGACTCAGCCAGAAAGCCTTTTCTCTTCTTGATTAAACTTGCTCCTGTGCTAGTCCAACACACCCACTGCTTTGAGCCACTCCGGACCAAAAGTTAGTCATTTGCTATAAGATCAACTTATGGCTATTTTAATCCTTTTTGCTATAAAGGTCTAGGTGGCCCCTATTCTATACTCGTGCTAGAAACTTGAGTGAGGATGTACTGGGGCAAATTCACCATCACTTAGGGCAGTTGCATCAGGGGTTGTCACTTGGCAAATTGTGTGAAGTTGTGCAGCTTTACCTTCAGGTTAAGTGGGATATCAGTGGTGCATTGGGATTCTGCTAGTCCTTACTGCAGGGCTGAATTTCACCCAGAGAAAATATCCCCTTAGTAGTAGTTATCTTTTTCATGAAAGGTGTGACATACTGGAGTGAAACTAGAATGAAATGTGTTAGATGTGAATTGAAAAAGACCTTTATCTGGTTACTGGAAAGAGTCTCATTCTCAGATGCCTAACATTAAGTTTACAAGCTCCTAATTCTTTTCCTCTGCTTTAGATATTCCTAGTTAGGAGAGATGGTAACATGAACAACATGGTGCTCTTGGTCCACTTCCCAGCCCAGAATGTGGCTTCTGATGTGCAGGAGTACAACATTAAAGAAGAAAAATCATGTAAGTTTTCTCAAGCCTTTTATCTCTTGCTCTGACCATCAGATGGGCTCTTCTTTTGACTGCAAAGTATGTACACAAATGTGCTTGCAATGAAGAAGATCCTACCACAGTTGGAGGAATGGTAGATCTTGACTCCTCCAGGAAAATTTGTTCAGATTCATTGTGACCAATTGGCCCAATTCTCCACTGATCTGTACCTTGTGTCATCATTTGTACCTGTGCACAGGGTGGTGTAAAATGCTACCACGTTAGAAGGGTAGCATTTTATTCAGGCAAATGAGAATGGAAACATTTACACAGGTGTGAGTAGTGATAGAATGTGCAAGGCAATGGAGAATCAATCTCTTCGATTAATTTAGTTTTTATTTCTGCTCTTGAATTAGCTGCCAACGGACTTTGATTTTTGCTAATTTATTCTTTATTCATTTCTTATTCAAACACTTTGTACAAATATTTTGACCTATTGGTTGTTCCTGAATTGTTTGTTTTGACTGTGTCTTCAGCTCTTCAGTATTCATAGTATATGATTGGTCCCCAAAAGAGCATAGTGTTGTTTCTGTTCCCTGATTGGATGACTGAACTTTTTATAAGCAAGAAAGGGGAAACCAAAGAGACTCCAAAAGGCACATGTCCGGTGCAGACTTTTGTGTGAGCAAAAAGTCACCAGAGCTTAATTTGTGCCTTGGCTCAGCCCCGGCACCTCTTTTCATGCTGGGCTGCAGTCCGGGCACCTCTTCTGTCAGTGGTGCAAGGCATGATCTTGCATGTACAGTGTGTGCAAGGTCACGCTATGCAGAGGATGCCAATTTGTAGAACAAAATGGCATCCTCCATGCAGTGTGACCTCACACGTATGGTGCATGCAAGGTCACACTGTGTGAAGGATGCCATTTTGTGTGCCCTGGCACATCCCTCTTTACAAATTAAGCACAGAAATTCACACCTGTATTGCAAGACATTTTTGCTTTCCAAAAGATGTTTGCAAATAATTTCTTTGATAAGCTATTCACAGAAGAAGGGTCCATGAAAGAAAGTTCATATTTTTTTTATTAAAATGATGAACATTCACACATTCGGTTCCACAGTGTAAGTCCTGTGGCCTCAAGCCTACATGAGAAGGGAGGTAACTAAGTGAGTGAGCTCTAGATGGCATCTACTGGAGAGCAAGGGGAGCTGACTCAGCGAGGCAGTACCTCATTTACATATTAACTATGGGTAGTTTGGGGATAGTGGGGTATAATTTGACAAAGTTTTGTTCAAGGGGACAATATTTTTGAGATTATCCTGTTGGGAACTCACCAGGCAAAGCCTGGACAATGACTGGGCATGGGGTCACCCTGATGAAAACTGATGTTTGTCAAGGTGGGGTAAGAGGCCCTGGACAGAGCCCGAGGGCAAGGAGAGAGAAATGGTGTATTGCTGGGATTCTCTGTTTGGGTGGTAGGAACTTGGATAAGTTTTTAAGACCCTTGATCCCCTTGTATTTAAAAATCTGAGCTAAGAGATGTTGTGGCCGAATGTAAGCCCAGCTCACCAGAAGTTCCAGTTTTCTAGCCAATGGCAAGCAGAAGTGAGAGACCAGCAGCAGTTTTAATCACCTGAGCCTCAGGCAGAGCAAAGCAGCAGTTGGACTCACCACAGGCCACAGCTTCTAACAGGAGAGCAGCAGCATGAGAGCAGTTACATGCAGAGGAATTCAGAGCAATAGTCTATGTCAGCCTAGTGGACTCTGGCAAGGCTCCCGCAGTCCTAGCTGCTGAAATCAATATAGCAGGACAGGTGGCAGAGCCCCAGAGCGATCTACAAAACAGGGAGCCTGATTTTCCTGGACTCTTGGAACCACAAACTGTGAGTGAGGAAGTTGGGGACCTATGAACTGAGAGTGGGAGGCTGGGAGATAGAACAAACTGCATCGACCAGTCAGGGTCCAAGTGCCTGGGACTGGGACTTATGCCCCCTGAGGTAAATGGTGGTAGTAAATTGAAAATATTTGTCACCATTCAACCTGGCTTTTCCCTCCCCCCCATACAGTTTGTTTGTTTAAACCTCTATGCTTGTGTCATGAGTACAAATTTGCCTAGCAAATGTGCCCAGAGTGGTTATAGGTTCCCAGGTTACGGGAGGGGTGGGCAGTACCGGATTTACCCTGGCGCCGGGCCCACACCCCAAAAGGGCCCGGCCCGGCCTGCGCTTCTCTGCCCACCGCTCTCTTCTGCGGGGGCAGTGGGCCGAAGCTTGGTCCTGCCAGCTCCTGCTGCAGCAGGGCAGGCTCCGCTGGCAGCCAATTCCCCGCTCCCCTGCCTCTTCCCTGGAGTGTGCTGCACTCCTGCCCCTCCCCCTTCCAGTGCTTCCCCTGCCACCAAACAGCTGTTCGCCCACGTGAGGGAGGGGGAGGAGGCGGAGAAGAGGCGGGGGTGAGGCCTTGGGGAAGAGGGTGGAATCAGGGCATAGCCCCTCCCCTCCCCTGCTGTGAGCCGCTCAGGGCAGGAGGTTGGGAGCACACCCACTACCCCAGCCCTCTGCCCTGACTCCTGCATCCCCCCACACATCGCCACCCCCATCCTGAGCACCAAACGGGAGCTCCTGCACCCCCCCACATTCCCACCTGCACCCCTCACACCAAATGGGAGCTGCCCCAGGTAAGCGCTCCACACCCCAATCTCCTGCCCCAACCCTGAGCCCCCTCCCTAACCCTAGCATCTGGCCAGACCCTGCACTCCAATCCCCAGCCTGTTCCTACACCCTAATTCCCTCCCAGACCTTGCACCCCCACCCTCAGCTCAGTGCAGAGAGAGACGAAGAGAATGGGCTAGAACCAGGGAGGAGGTAGGTACCTGTTTTATGTTTACCCCCCTCCCCAGCCCTGCTACACTTGCAGTTTACCCCCAGCCCCTCCCTTGCTCCAGGGACCAACCCTAGCTCCCGCCCTGCTGTGCTTTTGCCCCCGGCCCCTGCCTTGCTCCTGTCAGCAGGGACTAATCCTCCCCCCCATGCCCCACTGTGCTTATCTTGCCCCGGCCCCTGCCTCGCTCCAGCTGGGGACCAATCCTTCCCCCCACACAATGCCCCTCTGTCAGGATAGATAAAAATCAATGACTTTTTTAAAAAAATTAAAAAATCGGATTTTTTTTTAATTTAAATTGGATTTACTAAAGATAAAGATAGTTTTAATTAAGATACATTATATCTCATCATGGAATAGGGATTATACATTCTAATTCTATAGTATGAGAAAATATATTCATGTAATGTTTAAGAAAAGTTTTGTAAATGAGTTCTAATAGGTCATGGATTAGGGACCCAATCTTATGGAGTTCCACAGGCTTCTGTATAGATTATTTAGGTTCATCTTTCTATCTACCCAATGGGACTCAGTGCTCAGTCTAGAAGATACCATCAGAGATGCTTAGTTTTGCAGTTCTCAAACTGTGGATTTGTGTCTCCAGAGGTAACATGCTTGTTAACAGGAAAACTGTTTTTAAATAAATAAATAATATATAGAGGTGAGAAATAACAGACCTCAACTCTGTTGTCCCTCTGCAAATTTGTGTACACAGAGTCAATCCCTTACCTTTCTCTAAAAGTGAAAAGTTTCAAAAAGTTCAATGACTAGAAGATTGTTGGGGACGGAATAGATCTGGACAAGGAGAAGAAGTCTGGAGATAAATGTGAGAAGCGAGGGACATAAGCATTTTTGTTAAAATATTATGTTTGCTGTGAAGAAAAAAATCCAGAATACTTAACAATGTTGTTTTAGTAAAATAAAACAATTTAAATGTCTGTCCGGTGATGCTCTCCTCCTAATACAGCCTGGCGAGAAAATCCTCCAAATATTAATGATTAACCTGTTGAATTGGAGATAGTTCACCTCCCAATGACTTCATAAATATCTGCTTCAATTATCTTTGGTAAATGAAATAACCAAACAATCATTCATTTTCTGATATAACTGTAAAACTAACCTGAAAAGTTTTCAAAATAAATCACTGTTTAAAAATGTAGTGTGTACCTTCTAAAAATGAAACCTACATCTATCTCTGAGTTGTGAAGAATATGTATTAAGGTTATAACAACCAACAAGAATGCACTTTTATGTAGAAATCCATGATTAAATCGAGTCTTCCTAACTAGTGATTTAAATCAAATCCACCCTGCCCGCTGTGCTCTTGCCCCTGGCCCCTTCATTCCCCAGGGGGCCCACAAATATGTTTGGCGCCGGGCCCACAAAAAGTTAATCCGGCCGTGGGGGTGGGGAGGTCTGTAAAATAAATACGTGGCCCTTGCTGGTGCTGACGCCATTGGCAGAGGGGTTAAAACAGTATACCCAGCCCTGCTACATAGCCAGCCAAAATGGGGATTACATTTTACTCTTGGATTCATCCTGAAATGCTTGATATTAATTTCTATAACCAGCATCACAATCTGTTTCTTTTCCCTCACAGCTACTGGGTTTATTTTTGTATCATATATTTGTTTGACTGTCTGAATTATCAAACAGCAAGGGCAAGGGAATATTCCTCGATTAATGGAATCATAGAATTTAAGGCTAGAAGGGACCTTTAGATCATCCAGTCTGATTTCCTTTATATCACAGGCCAGAGAATTTCATTGTTAGTCCTGTATTGAACCCAGTAACTTGGTTTTGATAATGTTTCTCTTCCCCAAAGGCATCCAGTCTTGAATATGTGTGTGCATAATGGTATATCATGGCACAGAGTGTGTGAAATCACCTTGAACAATTTAAGAATTCTTAAACTATCTATAACAACATCTATGCATTATTCATAAAGAAAATAATATGAGAACTTTAAGGAATAACTGCAGGATCTGAAGAGAAAAGATCTGTTCTTTATTGTAAGTTAACATATCATTTAGATTTTTCTTGGCGCGCTATTGTTTTTTGATACTACCAGTTATTCTTTGGAGCTGTTAGCAAGTTCCATTCTTGAACACTGGCCTTATCACAACATCAGATCCAGATGCTGCACTTGTTCAGCTTGT